AATTACAAATGCAGTGTATTTACGACTGGCTTCCTCGACTGGCACATGAAAATATCCGCTTTTTAGATCTAATGTACTATACACCTTTGCGCCTTGCAGAAAGTCTACCTGATCTTCTATCAACGGAAGGACACTTCGTATTTTGACTGTCTGCGCATTCAACTTTCGGTAATCTATGCATATTCGCGTTTCACCATTCTTCTTTTTGACCAAGACTATTGGACTCGCGTAATCTGAATTTGATGTCTGTATTATGTCCTCCTCGAGCCACGCATGAATCTGTCTATCTACTTCAGTTTTTTCCGCTACGGATAATCTACGCGCGTTCTGTGCAATCGGCGTATCGTCGCTTACAACTATCGTCATTTTAACATCTGTCTCCTTGCTTTTTGCAGGTTTATATTCCTTGACTAAACTTTCTATCTCTTTTTTAACATCTTCGTTTTGAATGTGGGAAAGATCTACGTCCTTGTTATTCTGTACCATGTCGACTTTATAAATCTCCGGTAAATCTTTTGAATCGTCGGTGATTTTAGAAATACGTCCTACACCTCTTATCATGTGCACGTCAACCGTATTTAGAAAATCAGTTCCTATTAGCATATCTTGTGAAATTATTCCGTCCCGAACAATGTGTACAATGATATCGTAGATCTCTCCGTCAATACAAATCCTTAAGCGCGCGTCTCCTAATGTCGTATTTTCGTTTGATCCCGCTCCTCGAAATGTAATCGTGCTACTTCCGAGAGTCGGCGATCCGATCTGTTTATATTGTTTTTCGCACATCAAGCTAAGATCGGCACCGGAATCAATCACCGCGTTTAGTGTCGTGTCGTTAACAACTACATTCTTACGCCATTTCCCGTGGCCGGCTTGTACGATATTACAACTTTTTTTCACTTCCGCCTTCGCCTTGTCTGGACATTTCGCCGCGATGTGCCCATACTTATTACACCCGAAACACTTCGTACCTTGTTCTTTCGAGGGGCACGCCGTGCTCAAATGACTAGCATCACCACAATTGTAACATCGTTTCGCGTCTCGCTTCGCGTCTTTATTTTCTACGTTTGTAACCGGTTTCTTTTTATTCTCGTTCGACTTCGATTTCATCTTACCATGCATTTCTACATATATCTCGAATTTATCTTTTAACTCGCGGATAGTTTTAGCGCCATATAACACAGACTTACGATACCCTTCGTCGTCAATACCATCGATGATGTATTGAATGACCGCTTTTGTCTCCACATTTGCTCGCGCAGCTATTTCCGTCATCTTATAGCAATATTCATGATAGGATTCGTCGGTCCTCTTCTTCCTTCGCTGCAGCTCTTTGTGTATCGCTCGGCTATCCACCCTCAATGCAAATTCCGTCTTCAAGGCGTTCTTCATCAGTTTCCACGTCTTCCTGCATCCGTCGGATTTCACGAACAGTCGTGCTGAACCTCGTAATAATCTTGTTGCGTAGATTGTTTCTTGCACCGTGTTCCACTCGCACAGCTTTGCGAGATCTTCGAATTCTTTTATCCACGTCCTTACGTCTTTACCATCATCTCCGCTGAACGTGTCGATGGACTCTTCCACGTCTTTGAAAGTGGGCACATATCTCGGTCGTTTACGTGCTTCGTCTTGTTCGGCGCCATGAGTGCCGATGCTTTCTTGTTCGTCGTCACTCTCGTCGTTGGACTCGTCGTCGTCGTTTCCTTCCTCATGTTGATCGTCCAAGACCAGAGCCGCCTTCAGTCGCGTTACTAAGTCGACCTTATTGCCCGTCACCTTTAGCTTGCGTCCTCGAAGCTCTTCCTTCAGTTGGGCCACCGTCATCGTGTCGACTTGTACCGTGCCGTCTTCGTCGTTGGTTCGTCCTTCGTCGTTTCCTCTTTCGTCATCC